AACCTTTATGGGAGTAGAAAGCCTCATCTTTCTCCTGCAGAAAAGTTGGTAGTTTCGATCTGCCGACCTGAAGGTTGGCAGCCCGATTCGTAACCACTATACTACCAGAGCTCCTTAATGTATATACATACATATTGTTGTTGTTAAGTGCCTACCCATAGTGAGGTTTCGGTTTGAACATCACTTCTCACTGATCCTCTCACCACAGTCTACTTTGGAGCCCACATGATAGTTTCTCATCATAGAATTTACTGCTTCTTAAAAGCCTTGCCACACTTTATTATTCTGTATTTATGGGCCTAATTGTTTGTTTAATGTCTGTGTACTCAGCAGTTTGTAAGACTCACAGAAACAAGGAGTGTGTCCACATCATTTGCTATGTGACTTCCAGGCTCCAGTGTAATACTCAGTACAACATTCTAATATTTATTGCTCATAATAGGCAGCTGTGAGACTAAATAGTACAGTTTTAGTATCAACTTCCTTCCTGGCTTCTTGTTAGGTTACCTTTCCTGGTGATTTTAGTGTCTGTTTTTCTCTGCTACTGTCTCTTTTTATTTAAATCTCTTGTATCATTTTCCTGTTCTCTTTGGAAAGGGAACTCATGCTCACTGTAGCAAATTCCTCACTACCATTGACCATCTTATATTGTTGTTTTTCCCAGTGTAAGCTATCTAAAACTTTAGGGGAACAAACTAGAGACCGGAATAAATGGATACAAATAAATATTAGAGAGTAAAATAGATAGGAGTCACTCCCTTAAACTTTTACCAGTGAAAAAAATGACACTTTCATAGTTATTTAGTTTGTTTTTCCAACTGTCTTCAGATGCGAAGTCCACACAGAATGGCTGGCAATTTTACCTTTTTACAGGGCAATATGAAGTCCCGGTGTGGTGCTGTGGGCTAATGCGTCAGACTGCAAAGTTGTTTGAACTGCAAGGTTGGTTCACCAGCTGCTCCTTGGAAACCCTATACAGGGTCGCTATGGGTCGGAATCAAGTCCACAGCACTTAACAACGACAGTTAACTTATAAGAAAGTGAATCCAGAGCTCTCTTTATGCTTTTAGCTTTCACAGATTTTGCACAAATAAATATTGTTTTACCCTGAATAGAACAAAAACAACCACACAACAAATAATTGCAGAGGTAGTTAAGTGAAAATGTAAAAATATAATACTTTGGAGGGGAAGCTAATCCTGGAGCCAGTGAGAACAGTATTGAATATATAAAAGTTAACATTTCTCAGGAATACATCTACAGCTCCATTCTGATAGCCAAAAGAGTTCTTGGTTTCCTCCCCTCTTTCCTGCCTTACCAAAGGCTAATTGAACTTTGCAGCTAATTGTTCTAATGCTTCAAAAGACATTAGCAGAGTTTCTGTGGGGAGATGTGAAACTCCCAACCCTAATTTCACTAAATGCTATGAGTTGGGGCTTTAGTGTCTCATCAAAACAACAACACAAAAAACAAACGCCAGCTAAGAATTCACTATTCCTAAAACAGTTCTTTGAGCCTCAGCTCTTAAGACATTCAGTAACTGTTGAAAAAATGTGAATGTGTCATTTCTTAGATTGCTGTTTCCTGGTTTTGAAACAATGCTGAATTTGCAGTCCTCCTCAAAAGCCAAAATTAAGCACTACATCCTTGATGTTGACAAGAGCATTTGGATTCCATTTGTAGAGCTTTATCTACTAAGAGAGGTGAAGGAAAGTTCTCTAGGGCAAGAGTTACTCTGGAAACACCAATATTATTTTCCTAAAAACCAATATCAATTGTTTTTAGGAAAGTAAGAGGTGCAATTGATATAAATGAGCATCTTAGTTTAAAAAGAGATGATTCCATAATATTAAAATAATGCCAATTAATACATAATTTCTCTCTCCCTTGAATCGTATTTATTCATATGATAGCCACTCATGCCACTGTGACCTCTTAAGTTTACTAGCATGTATTCTTGGGGTCCCAGGTCCTGATGTTTATTTATGAATGATTCATACCAAAGCTCAAGAATTTCAGTGATCTTTTTAGTATATAAAAACATTCTATTCTTGCAGTCATACAAGACAGGAAGCTGACAGAAATTCAAGCTGGAGTCAGAAGAGGATGTGGAACTAGGGATATCATTTCTGATATCAGATGGAGGTTGGCTAAAAGCAGAAAATGCCAGAAAGATGTTTAACTGTGCTTTATTGACATTCAAAGTCTTTTGACTGGGAGGATCATGACAAGCTATGAATAACATTGCAAAGAATGTATATTCCAGAATAATTAACTGTGCTCATGAGGAACCTGTACCTAGACAGTCATACAAACAGAACAAAAGAACACTGAATAGTTTAAAATCAGGAAAAGTGTTAGCCAGGGTTGTATCCTTTTACCATACTAACTCAATCTGTATGCTGGGTTGACACCGTGGGAACAGCAATGTATTCAAGTATATGTACTTCATATTTTAAAATTCATAAACATTAATCTTTCTGATGTAAAACAAAACAAAACACTCTATTCTTGCTGAACATTTAAAAATAGTTGCTTGAAAAGATGAGATATACTGTTCTCTTTTAAAAAATTAATCTTATTTATAATAAACAAATATTTTATCAGTCTTAATGATAGCAACTTTTAAATTTTGAAATGTTTTCACTTTCAGCTCAATACAATTCAGCATGTTTTTAATCAACTTTGTCTCTTTAACCTTTAGAACTATTCATTCTAATGACTTTCTTTAAGTTTTGTCTTATCAGGTTATATGACAACTCAGCAGGTTGGCCTAGTAAACTTTGTCAAGGCTTGATAAATTCTTGGCAACAGATATTATGTGAAAACCAAAGGGTTCAAGTGGACAAAGGCTTGAAAAATAATGTGCTCCTTTTCATGTATACGAACAATCGTGTGAACACCATTAGTAGGTCATGAAATTTGAGGGTTACTTCATAAACCTACAACCTCAGTATCTATGTGTATATAGAGATGTATGTCCATGCTCAAGCACACATACACATGTATACAAGCACATACAAGCAAACACACACACACACATACTCTATACTGCACACACACACAGCATGATAGTGAGGAGTCAGATGTCCTCTCATTCAGATGATGATTGTGTTGACTAGGCACAGCCTCGTGGATACAGAAACGATGCTAGCTCTCGTCTAACCAAACATACTGATCAGTTCAGAAAACCTTTAATAAAGAATAACTTACAAGTCTTGGATTCAGAGTACCATTCTTCACTGTGACTCTAATGGTCGCTGTGGTGATTGTGTGCCACTGAGTAGGTTCTGACTCCTGGAAACCTTGTATAAGGTTTTTGAGGCTGTAAATCTTTATGGAAGCAGAAAACCTTATATTTCTCCTGTGGAATGCCTGGTAGATTCCAACTACTGACCTTGCAATTAGCAGCCCAACTTGTAATTCACTATGCCACCAATCAAGTGACAAACCAAAACCAAACCCATGACCATTGAGTTGATGCCAACTCATAGAGACCCTATATAGAGTTTCTAAGGCTGTAAAACTTTATGGGAGCAGGCAGCCTCATTTGCCTCCTGCAGAGTCACTGGTGGGTTTGAACATTTGACCTTGCAGTTAGAAGCCCAACGTGCAACCCACAGAACCACTCGGGCTCCTTAATAGACAAGTAAGTTCCCAAATTTTAGCAGCAAACAGTGAGTCTAGAGACCAGGGTTGCTGGTGTGTTTCCTCACCTATAAAATGACGAGGCTAGATCTGGTGAACTTTCAGATTTATTTAACCACATAATCTATGATTATATGATATTTATATGTTGTATCATTGGCACATGCCATATTACCTCTAGATAGGTAAATGCAACCACAGAGTTAAGTGTTTCTCAATAGCAGTCAAACAAATCTCGTAAATTCTAGATCTGCCCAGTACTAACTGTGTATTTAAATTTGGGCAAGTCATCTTACTTCTTGGGCCCCAGATTCCATATTTATTAAATGAGATAGGGTATTAGCTTCTGAGGATGACCGTAACAAGTTATCAACAAACTGAGTGATTTAAAATAATAGCAGTGCATTCTTCCACAATGTGGAGTGTTGGCAGCATTGATTCCTTCTGGAGTCATGCTTCTCTCCTGGCATCTGGGGGTATCTGGCAATCCACAGTGCTCCCTAGTTTGTAGGCATATCACTCCAATCTGCTTCCATTTTTATACCATTTTCTTCTTGGTATCTCTGTCTGCTTTTTTCTGTCTCTTATAAGGACACTTTCATTTAGGACTCTTCCTAATCTAGTATGATCTTATCTTGACACTCAGCTAAACGACATCTGCCAAGACCCTATTTCCAAATAGAGTCACATCCTGAAGTTCTGGGTGGATAATGAATTTGGGGGCTGCTGGGTTGGCATGGTAGGATAAGCACGTGACCTCATGGTGGGTTTGAATATCAAGGTCAGTGGCTCAAACTCACCAGCCACTCCTCGGAAACCCTATACAAGGGTTATATACTCATATTCTCATATACTACGAGTCAGAACTGACTGGACAGCACTAACAACAGCATTATACTATACCCTACACCCTCTAGACAAGGAGTGCTGGTAGCATAGTGGTTACGAGTCGGGCTGCCAATCTCAAGGTCAGCAGTTCGTGGTTCCGTGGGAGAAAGATGAGGTGTTCTGCTCCCGTAAAGATTTACAACCTGGGAAACCCTGTATAGGGTCGCTATGAGTCGGAACTGACTCTATGGTACTCAAGAACAACACCCTCTAGACAGTAGTCACTGTCTGTCAACTTTGTTCTAAGGAATGAATGAGGCAGTATGTGAAAGTGCCCAGATCAGTAACTAGTTATGGTATTACTACAATTTGGTAAAAAAAAAAAAAAGATTTAGGATCCACACCCAAACAATGTAACAGAGCCCTCTCCATGTTTGTATTTTTTGTCTAAAAGTATCATGTATACAACAGGATTCCAGGAAGAGAATACTTACCATGTTATTTTTGACATCCGTTTACTGCAGGTAGTGAAGACAGGCATATTCATACGACCACTTTGCAACAAATAACAACTGTGACTGAACAAGCAAGGCAAAGAGAAGAAAACCATGTGACTCCCCAGGCAGCCAGGAGAACCAACATGTCCGGATTGGGGGAAAGCGCAACTCAGAGCCTGTCTCCTGTGTTAGTAGAACTTGAGGAACCATCCTTCCACTCGGGGATTCTGAGGATAATGTCCCAACAGGATGTTCGAGCGGAGATCTTCCTGTGGAGTTTTCTCTTGTGGTCGGACACTATTGAAATGGTGCGTGTGGCTGGCCACTCTGCTGTGTACAAGTCTGGTTGGCTATACCCAGTCTACATATTTAGCTTTATTTCTTTACTTAGAATTATATTCACACCCAGAAACCCTCTTTTGAATTCCCTGGGCATTTTGCTTCAGGATTTACCCTTTATTTTTGTTAGGCTTAGTTTAATCATTGTCCTGGGGACTATCACACCAGTACTGGGTCTTTGTAAAAATGTGTTAGTCACTTTCTCTTATGTTTACTTTAATTATTTAACCAAATTCAGAGTTTTTTCTACCTTTGAAACGTCTCCATTCTAAGAAGAAAATGTAATAGAATTAGACCTCTTTATGTGTACATGTGAGCAATTTTGTAATTTTTTCTGGGGTATATGTTTTGCACTATATAAAGAAATTAAGAGTAGATTATAAAGAGAATAAACTATTTTTTAATAACTGTGGCATACTGATTTTATGTATAAAAATGGTGCTAAATTAAAATTATACCCTTACAAGTTGGCTTTGCTGGGTCTTTAGAAAATGTTTACTAGTTAATTTTAGTTAGTTATGTAGATGATGTTTTTTCCTAAAAACAGTATTTCAGTAAAGATTTTAAAAATTAGAACATTAATCCACAAATGAGGTGTTTATTATTTGTATAAAGACCAATAAGTGAATGCATTCACTAAAAATGGATTTTTATCAAATGCACCTGAAGTTATTAAATAAATTTTAGATGATATTTTATATACATATTTTAAATTGTGATTTTTTTGGTCTCCTTCAAACATGGAGAAAAAAAAAATCTTCTTTATTCCATGGGTACATTTGACTTTTATTTAATGGATTAAAGCAATTCAGTTGAATAGATACGTAAGTCAGTCTAAGGCTTCACTGTTTGGCCAGTACTATAATACTAGCCTGAATATAGTTTAGCATAATGAAGTCAAAGTACATCAATACTACTCAGATAAAGTTTTATAATAGAAAGTCATATATTGAAGTTGTGGACTGTAAAGTAAAAGAACATTTCATTTGTGGAATTTGAAACCATAATAAAAATAGTCATGTATTTAAAACTGGAAGTTCAACTGACAAGTGAAATAGCATATGCATCTGTGTTTTATGTGATAATATATCATGGATAGCATGATGCTATAAAATAATTAGATACATAACTATGTAATTTACCTCAACTGTGTTAGGATACTCTCATATACTTATCAGTTGCTAGAAAGGTTTGTGAGAGGCTTATGTGTACAGAGTAATGGTTTATATAGCCAATCCCTTCAGTGATTTGTGGTAACACATAGGGTAAGAATGGATGGTGGCCCATCCCTGCCACCCTCAAAACCTACTGCTGTGGAGTCGATTCTGACTCAGAGACCGTATAGGAACAGAGTAGAACTACCCGATATGGTTTCCAAGGCTGTAATCTTTATAGAAACAGACTAACACATCTTTTTCCAAGGAAGCAGTTGGTGCTAACATTTCTGTTAACAGATGAGTGCTTAACCACTGCATCACCAGGCTTCCTAGTCCCTGGCATAATCACGTCCATAAAATTACCCAGCCTAACTTTTACTTGTGCTTTAAGAGAAGGTCTACCCACAGTTAGAAGCTTGACTTCCAGCTTTATGATTTGAGGCTCCCTTGACCACTCTTGGCCTCAATTTCCATTATCTAAAAGATGAGCATTGGTTGACTGGTTTATATGCTGTGGAGTTAGTTCCAACTCAAACAGATCCTGTATAGGATTTCCTAGGCTGTAAATTTTTACGGGAGCAGAAAGCAGAGTAGTGGTAATGATAATAATAATAATGTAGTTTCCAGAAAGTCTTCTTTAACTGACGGCAATCCCAGGTGTCTCATAGTACAGTGGTGCTGCGTGAGCTTTCCAATGGCTGTTTTATCTCCTGGCCTCTCTTCCAAGACTCCCCTGGGTAAACTTAAACCTGCAGCCTTTTCTTTAGTAGGAGCACTAGTGTTCTGTAGGATAATCACTGGACAAGGCTGGTGGTTCGAGCCCACCAGCTACCCCAAAGGACAAAGATGAGGTTTTCTGCTCATTTTAGCCTCAGAAGCCCTATCTAGGGTCACCATGAGTCAGACTTGTCTTGATGGCAGTAGGTTTTGTTTTGATTTGTTGTTTAGTAGCTGAGTACATTAAATGTTTTTTATCACCCAGGTATTTGTAATACCTACTTTAATAGGCTTGAGAGGATTCAATGAGTTAGCAATGTTCTTAGCACATTGTATGGTAAACGATAATAACTTGGTAAATGCTAAGTATTTAAACTGTCCTAAATTCCAGAGAAATATGCAGCTAAATGCATTGCTTTAATTCTCCTGGCTCATTCTTTTTTGTGTCCCTGCTCACTTCTTGAGAATAATAATTTTAACCACATATTTTCAAATAATGATACTTAAAAATCTCAAGGTCGCCTCATTATTATTTTCATTACATAATGCTATGTTCAAAAGTGAATACTTTGTAGAATAGACAGATTAAAAGTGATATGAGAATTAATAAATCAAACATTTGAAGGTCCTGCTTATGAATTCTCATATAATCCAAATTACTTTACCAAGATATTCACTTTCTGTTTACTTTTCTGAATTTCCCATTAAAATGTTGTTGCTAAGTGTCATCAAGTCAGAGCCAACTCATATCAGCCCTGTATAAGGTTTCCAAGGAGTGGATGATAGGTTTAAACTGCAAAACTTGTGGCTAGAAGTCCGGTGCTTATCCTATAGCACCACATGGTAATTTTTTATTAAGAAAAATCTTTTATGAAGTGTAATATTTTGTAATATTTCTAAACATGAAAAGATTTAACTTAAGTTTACATTTATCTTTATATTGAAACTTTTAGAGCGGACTGTGCTCAGATAAACCGAGTAGTAGTCATTATTTGAGTTTAGAATGTATTTTGTACTTAAATATCTGAATATGAATGTACCTGGTATTTTGCAAAGTTGCAACTCTTCATTTATGCAATAAATGAAGGCATGTCCAAAAAATTACATATGGGAGGAAAATTATTGAGTTTCTAATTTAATATTTTATTTTAAGAGTATATATAAAAACCAAACCCACTGCCATTGAGAAACTTTTGACTCATAGTAACCCTCTGTAGGGTTTCTGAGGCTATAAATCTTCAAGGGAGCAGACAGCATTATCTTTCTCCCATGGAGTGGCTGGTGGGTTTGAATTGCCACTCTGTGGTTAGCAGTTCAAGTTTATGGTATTTAATATTATTGCAGCAACATATATAGATGTGACTCTGATAGTTCTGTACTGTGTGATTGAAAGCTATATTATTAAGTTTATGTTGCAGTTTTCACAGCTTCTGATGGTTGTTGGTTGTTGTTTGTTTGTTTCAGTTGGTTTCTACTCAGGGCAACAGAATGAATTGTTGCTGGGTCTTCTTTAATCCATTGTTGTGGCTACTGTGTCAACCCGTCCCCTAGAGGATCACTGACCCGCTACCAAACCTGATGTCATTTTCTACTGATTGGTCTTTCTTGATGATGTTCTGAAAGTGACAAGGCAGATGGTTGTTGGTAGTAGGACTCAACTGTTTCTGTCTTATTAAAGATTTTACTTTTCTGTTACATGAAATTATACACGACAATAGTGGCGGTATATTTAGTAGACAAAGGAGTCCTGATATTGTAGTGGGTACTCTGGGCCACAAACTGTAAGGTCAGCAATTCGAATCCACCATGGGAGAAAGATGAGGCATTCTGCTTCTGTAAAGATTTACAGTCTTGGAAATCCTATACAGGGTCAGAAAGAGTTCTTCTTTGTCATATTGCTTTCATTTTTAAATTGTTATTAGACTGCATTATTATATCTTCTCTTTTCTTTTTTCCTTCTACTGGCTGACTAGAAATCATCTTGATTCCACTTGAGCAAATTTCCCATTCAAATTTACATTTACTTAAACACAGAAATAAACAATAAAACCAACTTCTGAATTGGTCACTTTTTTTTTATCAGCAAAATAACAATTTTTTTTTTTTTTTTACTCAGTCAATTTTCTGAATCATATTACCAACGAATTTACTAAATGAATTTTCTTGGAACTATTTCATACCAAAGCAGACAGCAAGTTCATCTCTTACAGAACTGAGTGAGTGAGGTGGGCAGTGTTTAGGAAACAGACAGTCTAGGAGGAAGCATGATAGTTTAGTAATTCAGTCTTGGCAAAAATTTAAAAAAATAAGGAGGGGTTCTGTGATTTCATAAAAATGCTCCTGAAATTTGAAGGGTGTGTGTGTGTGTAAGTGTTGTCAAGTCAGTTCTAACTTACAGTGATCCTGTAAAGGGTTTCCAAGGAGCAGCTATGGGTTTGAACCATCAATTGTGTTGTTAGCCATTCAGTGGCTAGTTATAGTGCCACACCAGGACTCCAAACTTGGAGGGAGGATCTGTTAAAAACAACCACCATCATCAAGAGCTAACCAAAAACAAGAACCAAAACTTAGTTGTTGTTGTTGTTGTTAAGTGCCTTCGAGTCGGAGCTGACCCATAGCGACCCTGTACAGGGTTTCCGAGGGTGTAAATCCTTACGGGAGTAGAAAGCCTCATCTTTCTCCCGCAGAGCGGCTGGTAGTTTCGAACCACTGACCTTAAGGTTCGCAGCCCGATTCGTAACCACTACGCTACCAGAGATCCTTAAAGTGGGTAGCACGACTTAGATTTTTTTCTTTTGTCTTGGTTACTTGTCCTAACCTAATAATGGGGTCATGGGGCCAATTCTTTTGAGGGGCAATTGACTTCACTTCTATCAAAGCCAGGGTCTGAACCATTGATTGTGACTGGCAGTATCACACATCTGTGAAATAAAACAACCCTGACTGTGAAGTAGAGATCATTCAATGACATCTGATTTGCTTCTGAATTTCATATAAATCCAAATTAGCACTTTGAAAAGTAGGTTTACATTAAATTTTGTAAATTTAATAATGTGATAAATGTCAACATGATTAATCTATATTAAAACACTTATTTAAAAAATTTAAATGAGGCATTCTGGGTTTTTAAGTGTAAAAAAAGTCCAGAATGACACATTAAAATTTTTTTTCATGCTAAATCAGCAAAGCAATGTTTTAGAAAGAAGTATTTTTGTTTAATTAGTTCTGTTTTGTAACCAACTCTTTTGCGGGGAGGTGGGATCTGTCAAGCAATGGCTTAGTGCAAAAGAAACATTTGTCCTGTGTTCTGTAACTTCACATTTTTTCCTCCTATAAGATTATTGTTACATTTATGATGTTGAGGTAGGAGGCACCTTGAGGCCTAGGTCACACACAAA